CCCGCCTGGGTGAGGCGGGAGGGAGTGTCAGACTCTTACTGACTAAAAACCACCCCGTTCCTTCTCCTGCACGTCGAGCCGGAGCCCCGGTTACCCGTTAGGTTCTCCGCGACTCCGAATCGGCATCGGCCCTATTGGGCCCCATCTGTGGTGGTCTGATGGCTCTTTGAGGCGCGCGCGGAACGCGACGCGCCGTACGCTCGGGTCTGTTTCTGGTCGGACGGGGAGCCACCCATGCTCGCCGTCCGCAGGCCCGCGCTTACGGTGGCCGGAGATCGTCCCGCGATCCCCGACGCCCGGTGTGTCCTTCGCGATGGCTGGGTTGCGAGGAGGCAGCGCTTCGCTGCCTCACGCGTCCCGCCTCCTCCTTAGCTAGCATGACTGCTTCGCAAAAGGAGGAGACGGCATCCCAGTCCCCCTCGCTCCGCATCATGGCCCGCACTAGGCTTGGTCATACTCTAGAATCACCACAACCGGCATTGCAACACAATGCTAATACCCGATCCCCACCTAAAGACCCAAGACTAGAGAATTTTACAAGAAAATAGAATGGGCAAGACCAATTAATGCATGAATGTAGCCGTTGTTCCACTATGTTATCACTACATAGTTTAGAACAAAGTCGCTATCCACCGTCTGTCTGTCCCTATGTATGCTTAGATCTTTAAAACTACGCAACAGATTTTGATGCGGTTTTTTTTAATAGATAGAGTGATTCTTAAGGAAGTATAACGTATAATACATACATATTGCACCCGTGCCTTTTATCCCCGAAGGGATAGGCAGAGGTGTACATTATGCCACTGTAGGTACAATGTAACACTCACTTTTGACTATTTATGTTATGAGTCCCATTAATAGGGGGTGAGCCTATTGCCATATACCGGGCACAATTCCAAACTCTGTGCTACAACTGTGATTTTTTTTTGAAAAACCCAGTTAATACTTTGCCTGACCCGGGAATCCAACCCGAGACCCTTTGCCCGGCAGTTGCACTTGCAACCACTCGGCCAATGAGGCAGTCATTGTATACATAGAATACTATTTTATACATGACTGAACTCGCCAGAAAGATTTTGGTCCTTCTTCATAAAACCTCCTTAAAACCAGAAATGACCATGTCTTTTCAAACTAAACATTCACTTGTCTATCCTGAAGAGTTCAGGTACATTCAGCAGACAAAATTATAATAATTATTTTTTACGGGATAGGTATAATAATAATATGTCATAGTTAAAGAATTTTCATTTATTAAAACCATAGATTACATAGCAAATAGTATGAGCAATACTGATGTTTACTCTTATTATTATAAATGAATGCGACATCTTTAGAAAGATCTGCCTAAACTAAAGACAAAGTTGGGCTTCCAGCCGCTGTTCATGAAGGGAGTTTCAAACTTCTTTAAACCGCCGCTAAAGTCCACGGTTGTGGTCGGACTGCGGAACAGATTCAAGTTGCCCATCGCGGAGTAGTCCTTGCGGTCTAAGAATGGAGTACTGGCCATGCCCAGAGATGCTCCCACCTTGTTCTTGTACATGTAGTCGACGCCCCCACCGACGGTGTTAAAGTTGGGCACGTTCGGGATGCTGGGCATGTTCCTGGTGAGAGAGCCGGTCACGGCCACGTTGTGGTTGTCATTGTGGAACACATTCAGCTTACCAGCACCCGACAGCCTGTCCCCGAACCCGGGAATATTTTCCTTCATCACGGTCAGTCCGTGCCCATTGACGTTGTCTAGAGCCAAACCGAAGCCCTTGGAAGCAGGTTGCATCTTATTGTTAAAGTCCATGGACCCGATAGCACTTAGCACATTCTTGTCGTTGTGTGCGAGGGGGATCTTAGCACCCAGGCCCATGCCGCCGTCGGAGTTCAGGGTGACGCTGCCCTGTGCCTGTCTGCGAGACCTCGCCAGGTGCTCTGGCTGGTAGGATACCTCCGGCTCTGGGAGCAAGTCTTCGTGCTCAAACATAGGTTGTCCATCTTCGTCGAACCAGAGGAGGTATCCTTGTTCGTACGGCAGGTGGTCCTGGGGCACATGTCTGGCGCTTGCGACCACCAGCACTGCAGCTAGTATCAACTTCAGGCCGAACATTTTGCTATAGTGAATTTAATGGCTTGAAGTGTTCGATATACGAGAGACGACTGATGTGAAGGAGACGAATGTGTCTCTTTATATTTGCAGCCGAGTAGGTATATAATTAGATAAGAGATGGAAGTCCCGAGCCAGTCATTCCCCGAGTTCTAGATGCCTACTGTTATTGACTTATCGAAATACATATTAGTAAATATATGATGAGCTCAAACAATAAATCTTAATAGACCAATTGCTAGTATAGCATAAATTATACTTAAACATCCAAATGTTTCCTTTTTACCTCTTTCTTGAGAGATAATATGGGAGATCATATATTATGGGTGTTCTACTGATGAACTTGTACTAATTTTGCAACTTCAATGTAATGTTTAATAGCATTAAATTTTAATCGCATTACTTTACCCTTTTGAACTGTATCTTTTACTGCAGCAAATGACCACTATAATACAGCTGTGTAATCGGCCATTATAATCGATGTCACACACAAGACAAAAAGTTTAGTCAATAATTTATAGAGGTACATTGCCTTTTCCATAGCGTGCCACAACATCGATTCTCTCTTCCGCACCCAGCGATGGGGCCCAATAGGGCTGATGCCGATACGGAGCCGCGGAGAACCTAACGGGTTATTACGGAAGTGCAGGAGTAGGAACGGGGTGGTTATTAGTCAGTAAGAGTCTGACACTCCCTCCTGCCTCACCCAGGAGGAGTCATTCGATGATTTACCCACCTTAAAAAAAACTACTCCAGACTACTCTCTTTAGGTCGTTGGTTTATCCAGTAGGTAGGCAGGCATCCCACACTAGGACATAGTTTAATAGTTACGCAGACTGATGTTTCATTTCATACCAAGGTCATTCGGCAAAATAATTTTGTGGCGATATCCAGAAATCCCCTTTTCTAAGTGATAAACCGCGGTGACCGCAAGTTGGAGACATGACATAAATGTAATAACAACAATAACAATTACCTTATCAATGCGGTTCACTCCCTTCAATACATAGTATAAAACAAAGTCGCTTTCGCTGTATGTCCGTATGTATGCTTAGATCTTTAAAACTACGCAACGGATTTTGATGCGGTTTTTTTTAATAGATAGAGTGATTCTTAAGGAAGGTTTGTATGTACCCATATACATATTGCACCCGTGCGAAGCCGGGGCGGGTCGCTAGTTTATTATAAGTAGGTAAACATGTCTACATATTGAGCTATGCATAACCAATATAAATTGATCGTTGAATGTTCGAAAAGATTATACAAAGGGAGATCATGATAAATTGGATTTTTGATGTTGGCAGCGTGTACAAGACACATTCAATTTTCATAACTACACATCACGCCTATTTCCCCGAAGGGGTAGGTGAAGGTGCACATTACGGCACTTAATACCACTGTACAAAGTAACACCCACTTTTCACTATTATGTTATGAGTCCCATGTAATAGGGGGTGAGAATATTATCATATGCCGGGCATAATTTCAGACTCCGTGCTACTACCGAAATTTTTAGGCTCACCCCCTATTACATGGGACTCATAACATACCTAAATAGTAAAAAGTGGGTATTACATTGTCAGTGGCATAATGTGCACTTCTGCCTACCTCTTCGAGGATAAAAAGCGTGATGTTATGTGTCATTTTATTTTGACTCGATATGTTAGATGTTGTTTCATTAGGTATTTGATGATAATAATGTCTACTTTATTTTAACAAAATAAATGTTGCTTTCATCCGCCTTAGGGTGTACTATGCCAAATCGAATATCAATTGATCGACCACTATAAATCGAACGCCTAAATACTCGAACGTTCATAATATCGAATTGTTATTAAATCGAACATTCAATACATCGCACACTCAATACATCGAAGATTCAAAATGTCGAATGTTTGTTACAGGGTCCATAAATGAAACTAAAGTTTAATCCTATCATAACACACTTTATGGTAGGCTAATAAATTAATATGAATATAGGGAAAAAGATTAACGAATGGAGTTTCTTTCTCGTTCTCCATTTGAATCTACATGTTGGAATGAGCACCTAGCTTCACTGCCGGACTGACAGACTATTATTTATTTTCTATTAGTTGACATTTCAAAAGTACCAAATTATGGTTTAATTGAAATAAATACTTGGGACATTTATTTGGTACCCAAAAGAAGTTAAGAGTGGGTGTTAAATTGGTTGTTTACGTTTTTGCCCAGTTAGGCTATTCTGTAATCTGTTACTTCCAATTCAAAATTTGACGTAAACTCGATCGCGGGCTGCCATGTCATTGGTTGCGAGAATGATCTCGACTAATGACAGACGGGAATGCGAACGAGCTCAGTTCGAAAGTTTGAATTGACAGTTACAACATAGACTAACACAAATGAAAACGCATAATGTTATAACATTATGATATTAACAAATCAATTGTTGATAAGTTCTTAAAATAAGTACATAAAAGAAAGTATTTTATTATAACAGAAAATAATACCAATTGTACACATATTATATATTACTTTTTTAAACTCATTCATTAAAATAAACAAGGCAATACAATTAATGAAAACTAGATATTACGAAGGTTTATGTAGGGTTACATAACAATAGAAAAAAATTTAAAGGTCGAAAACAAATATCAAGCCATTGTAGTAGACGCCAGCACATTAAACAGGGGCTCAATAGGACTGATGCTGATACGGAGCCGCGAAGAAAGTATAAGTTTACCGGGGCTCCTGCTCGAAGTGTAGGAGTAGGAACGGGGTGGTTTTTAGTCAGTTAGAGTTTGACACTCACTCATCCAGGCGAAAGAAGCATTCGATGATTTTCCCCCTTAAAAAACCACACCAAGCAGTCTGTAATAAATCAACATACTTTACAATAACGTTAAATATCTGTTGAAGAATAAAAAATATCTGTTTATTAAAAAAAAAAAAAAAAGAATGACAAACGTATTGAATAGTTGCAGTTGATGTGGTTGGCGTCCCTAGATTTTGTTACCTACGATGTTAATAACTTATCTTTTTTTGTTCCACAGTCCCATTCTCGCCGTGGCCACCTTCACCTACGAGGTTTACGATGACGGCACCCAGGTCCCAGTCTGCCTCACCCAGGCAGACACCTTCTGGTCAGCGCTGTTCTTCATCCTCACCATAGCAGTTTTCTTCATCGTTCCTCTTGGAGTGCTCCTTGTCTTGTACAGCGTCATAGCTAAAAACCTCATGGAAAACCCCGTCATCATTGCCCAAAACACTAAAAACACCAACAATACTGGTAATGTCGTCAGGTATAGAAAGCAAGTCATTCTCATGCTCGGTACTGTCGTCCTCTCTTTCTTCCTCTGTCTCCTCCCATTTAAAGCCCTCACTCTATGGATCATCGTATTCCCACCAGAGACAATAATGTCATTAGGTATAGACGGTTACTACATACTTTTATATTTTTGTAGGGTTATGCTATATTTAAACTCGGCGATCAATCCAATATTATACAATTTAATGTCGTCGAAATTTAGAGAAGGATTTGTGAAATTGTTAAGAATTAATAAACTAATGAGATGTAGCAGGAATTTGAGAGAAACAATGCAAAGACGGGACACGTTCAATACTACTACTTCGACTGGATTTTCAAGTAGTCAGAACACGTCGGACTCTTTTTGGAGAAGATATAGTAATAGGACATCATCACAGAAGATTTTCATCAACAGAGAAAGTAAGAAAGTGAAAGAGGAAAACGTGCAGCAAATGAAAGTAGGAGAAATAATAAATGTCGAGAACACGAGACGGAACAGTATGAAGATGATAGCAGCACTAAACGAGACAGACAATGACATATACGCTGATGTACATGACAATGATTACCCAAACGAATTAGCAATAGACACTGCCAATGAGAACAATAAACAAATACAAATATTAAATCTAGATGTAAAAACTAACAATGTATATTCAATAACTTTAGATGTAAGCGATTCGGTTGAGGGTAGGAACAAATTTGTTTGTATACCAGCGTTGGACAGAGAAAATAATATATTTATATACGATTACAGAACTAAGGAGAGCTTTGTATGAACTGTTTCCTTTGATGCCGCTGGCTTGGAGCCAGACGATTTAGTGCATTTACTTAAGACATACAAATATATTTGGAATTGATTCATACATCACTGGATTAAGATAATAGTTGCGGAATTACTGAAATAGATTCTAAATGTACTTAGCCACTATAAATCTCTAATAGCGCGTTGGTCGACCAATGCGATTGCAAATTATTATGACTTCATTTCGCAGTGGTTACAGTATCATTGGGGCTTGTACGTTGCGAAAATTTCTCAGTAGCAGCATAGAATCTGGAACCATGCCCAGTTAGTAATTAGATAACAGTAAAAAATTGGGAACTAGAAGTTGGATAGTATATATACGTCTCTGTCTAACCATTTTAAGGATTAAAGTCCTGACATAACCTTATGCAATTTGCGAAACTTACACCAGCATTTATATGCTGGTGTAAGTCCAAAGGAATGTTCATGATTATTTCTCGGTGCTATCAATCAAATCCCTGTGACATATCGCTTTGTTTCGGGAGTGGCTTTGGTACGAAGCGAGGCAATTTCACACTCAATTTGTGGGATCATTAATTAGGTCGAAACAACTTCTCGATGAAAGTGCCCATCAATTTAAGGACACATTCATTTAGCTGGAGCAATATGCCCTAGAAATATATGAACAAAAATTCCTTAGTGTTGTTACTTTTAAGGAGCACAGATTGCTTTGTTTCGCATGAACAAAAGAACCTACGATAGTCAGACGCTGGACTATGGGTATGATTCTTCAAGTTTAGCAGGTTAGGCAAAGCAAAATTGGGGTTTATCAGAGAGCGCAGTTTTGAATACAATAGATATCTAAAGTCCACAGACCGGTACATCGGATCATATACTGTAAAAGAAAAGAAACAAAAGTGTAATAATTTTTAAAAGGCCGGCAACGCACCAGTATCCATGGGCGGCACTGATCGCTTACTATCATGAGATCCGTCTGCTCGTGTGCCTCCTATTCCACAAACCAAATATATAAATACATCCAAATGTGCAAAGATCAATGTCCAATGATGTATGGATCTTTCAACATAATATAATAATTATATCTTTCATAAAAGGAATGAAGCTTGTCATATCATAATACTGCCGATCATATTTATCCTTCGTTTGACAGCAAGATAAATGTATGTGCCCATTTGTCATACGAATTCTATGACAAATGGTCTAACATAGAAACAGTTTATTTTTCCTAAGTTATCTAGTTTGTTTGACTTGTAATTTTTGTTGTGTAAGCGTCTATGTAGTTTTAGTATTTAAGTTGGTAAGGGAATTCGAGTTGGCGGGATTTCGACTTGAAGTATGTTTGTATTTATTTTTGGAAAAATAGTTAAACAGTCGAAATTAATACATTGATCTTAATATTAAAGAGTGATCTCTTTTCGACAGATATTTAATGGGACTAATAGGTCAAAAACTCTAAGGTTAAATACTCACGAGATCGGATTTTGTGCGGTCACGCAGCCGTCGCGGTTGCGATTATTGGTCGCAAACTTAACGGTTGATTATCCAAGACGATTGCAAAAGTACCAAATTATGGTTTAATTGAAATAAATGCTTTGTGTTTGACTTTGCAAGACCGTTAAGCGATAGCAGAGTGCACGGGTGCGGCAGCGGGACCCGCAAACAATCGCCCACGCTGCGGGTGTAAAACGCATCGTGAAATGTTCTTTAATTTTTTACATAATTATCTACTATTCTACAAAGACTGCGGGTCCGGAACCATGGCAGACGTGGGTGAAAACCGTCTCATGAGTCCTTAGCCTGAGGTTTTCGATTGAAGCTATGTACCAGTAACTAGTCTTCTAAACCTTAAACGGTCATCGTCATTATTGTTATGTTTATAAAATGTTCTTATCTTAGTCGAATATTTAAGTTTTGATTGATCTTATTTATGTAAATGTTTATTTAAATATGAAATAGGTAATTATATTTATTATAATTTATAAAGATCTCATAAGTAAATAATGAAGCAAGTATTTATTTTTAGACAAAATACTTATCATATATTCTAAATTAAAGAGCTTTCATTCCTTTGATTTACAAATCTTAGATAATTTCTATGATTTTTTAAACAAAACATACCTAATATAAAAATTGTAATTTTTCATTTTAAACCAATAGAATTTTTGTATAATTTTATTTTGTATAAAATAAAAGAAGATTAATTCAAAAACGTGAATATAACATAAAAAAATTATTGGTTTTTTTTGTAGTATAAAAACGATATGTCTAAAGGGAACGAATTACAAAGGAAAGTAGGATATAATATCGTCAAAGAGTCCATTCTGGGATAATTCGAATGTTAGTTGTTATGTAATGGATGTATATAGAATTATAGAATGTTATACATTTTATTACAAAAAAAATATGATGTAAGTATCATACCGGCGTAAAGATAACAGTGTTTTATCATTATCAGTACATAGTATAAAACAAAAGTCGCTATCCACCATCTGTCTGTCCCTATGTATGCTTAGATCTTTAAAACTACACAACGGATTTTGATGCGGTGTTTATAATAGATAAAGTGATTCTTAAGGATGGTTTATATGTATATTGCACCCGTGCGAAGCCGGGGCGGGTCGCTAGTGATTGTATAATTTATTGTAAAATTGGCTATTATTTAATTTATAAAAAAATATGTAACCATTACTTTTTAATTTTAAAGCATTACTTCAACTGCATGCTACGAAATATTGTTTATAATATATATATAACAAGATTAAACACTACCACTATTTTGATTACATTAAATAAAAATGTAGGCTTTAATTTTCAAATCATTTTATATCTATCCTTCTAATATATATTGATACTTAATTGTCTATTCGAACAAAAAAATATAAATGTGCCAAAGGATATATATGTTCATTATAAAATAATGTATGTAACCATTAATATATTAATTTGTTCAGAGGTATACAATTATGTGTTTCATAAAACGAAGGCTCTATGCAGAAATAAAATGGCCGAAGATTTATTTAATTTTACAAAATATATTGTTAACTTTATACTATTCAGTACAATTCAAATACAAAAGATTTAATATATTATTATGTTTTCGGCTTACTCACGTAATTATTTGACGAGAAACTCGACTAGTTTCAAGCCATACTAGAGGCTCATATTCATGAGCAGCATCGAAATGCTGTGTGATCGAAATGTGTGGTATCGAAATACCCGCGACGTGGCGACTATCGCGTTGCTACTCGACTTGATACTAGTCCAGCTCCTCGTCAAATAATTACGTGAGTACCTAAGTCGAAAACATAATAATATAATAATATTTAGTATGTCTCACGAAAGTTATAATACAAATACAATGGATTTGATTTCTAACTTTATGACAAAAGCAAAAGGTTGATAATCTATTCACATCAACTATATATTATGTAGGCTTTAATTTTCAATTAAAGTAGATTTTTATATTAGTGTTATGTTTTGATTATCGAACAAAATATGAGCTAAATAAGATGAATGTAATAAAATTGTATTCTCTTATAGTAACCACCATGTGTAATGAAATAAAATACATATGTGTAATATTCATAAGGTTGTTTTTCATTTTATCCCATTTAATATAGTGTGCAAATTACATTCGGTTTGTAAATATGAGATCACATTAACATGAGATCTTGATATAGTTTTTTTTTTAAACTTGGTACAGCTAGGCTATCTATTCATAACATAACATAACATCACGCCTTTTATCCCCGAAGGTGTAGGCAGAGGTGCGCATTATGCCACTGTACAATGTAATACCCACTTTTCACTATTTATGTTATGAGTCCCATGTAATATGGGGTGAGCCTATTGCCATATACGGGTACAATTCCAAACTCCGTGCTACTACTGAGAATTTTTAAAAAACCCAGTAATATTTTGCTCGACAGTCGCACTTACGACCACTCGGCCAACGAGACCGGCTATCTATTCAGTAACTGTTAATTCCAAATTTCGAATTGAACTCGATCGTATCATCGCCCCTCATTGGTCGAGATTATTTTCCCAACCAATAACATGAAAGATCGCCATTGTGTTTACTTTGGAAGTTTAGCTGACAGTTAGGCAGACAGAAATACCTAGCTGCAGATGGTTCGAGGATCAAATTAGGCAAAGGTTTGTACTTATATTATATTTTTCGTTAATAACAGGGAGCCTGGTGCATATTGGGGCTGGTATATCGTAATACTAAGGATCTGATTACCAGTAGACGTAACATACATAACATAACATCACGCCTTTTATCCTCGAAGGTGTAGGTAGAGGTGTACAATACGGCACTTAATGCCACTGTTCAATGTAACACCCACTTTTCACTATTTATGTTATGAGTCCCATGTAATAGGGACTGTAATACAGACTCCGTGCTACTACCTATTTTTTTATAATAACTCAGTAATATGTCAGGAATGGACCTGGAAAAAATACTGAGAATCAAAAACCCCGTGCCTGACAGTCGCACGGATGCCGACTCAACAAAAGTTGGGTGCATTGAGCACCCAACACTGGTTTTCAAATGGCGCCCCTGTAATGACGCACGGGCGGAAGCAACACAAACATACTACTTAATTAAAATAATGTAATACAAATATTGTATAAAAAGAAGGAAAATTGTAGTAACAAACATCACAAGTTGTTTGAATATCAAGCTCCAGGTGTGTTGCTGGTGGTCTTGAATAATAAAATGACTTCGGTATGATGAGAAGACTGTATTTCAATAGGTACTGATTGTAAGGGTCAACCGATATGTGCGCACGGCGTCGTGTCGGGCGAGCCAGTGAATGAATGACCGCCGATCGCAGCAGTCGCGGGCCACGTATGGTGGTGAGCCCGATGTGACGTCAGGAACACAAGTATTGCACCAACTAACATCATACTTCACCAAAAACTGGTTATTTAAATTAACTACTATTTCTATTTTACATGGAGCCCAAAAAAGTAAGATGCCCGAAGTTAGAAAACCTTCTGCAGACTGCCAAATCCTAAATATAAACCAATAAAATAAAATGAAGTTATAACATAACATAAACGAAAAAATGCAGTTTTTAATTAAAATTTGATTACCATTTTGCTTCAGTTTAAACGTTTTAAAAATAACGATAACGATTGGACGACGATCTCAAGTTTCGACATTACATTATTAAGATAAGCAATAAAAAAGGATTTTGGCAATTATCGTTTATTTTTAATTCGTTTTTAAAAAGGAATATAACAAGTTTTATGTAAGTTTAATGTGTTTTTTGAACTGGAAGGCTGGTTTTAGTATCACGCTGACCGCACGCTGACTGTCAGCGCTGATAGCCGAGATGTATGCACGTGGTGGTCAGCGGTAACCACTGTGCGCGCTGAT